CCCCAAAACCCCAAAACCCCAAAACCCCATGAGTTTGATTATCTGAATAATGTAATGCAAAATGAGTAAAATACATAAGTTGATTTTTGAATTACAAATTTGTTAGTAAAATTAGGTAGATTTAACAATTGGGATTAATAAGGTTAGAAACTCATCATTCTATGAATCAATCGTGTGGGTAGATAACACCGCCGTATGGGACATTGTAGACAACTCTGGTTGGTCTTACGTAAACACCACCATCCCAGTATTGTTGAACTTCGATGTCATCCTCATCTTCGATTTGAGCTTGTACATGTGGGTGAACAGTTTGGTAGATTCCAAGTCCTAATCCAGTAAGGTCACCAGCAATGCCAGTTAATTCGTGGAGTCCACTTAAGAATCCTTCAACGTGTGGTTGTTCGATAGTTTGGTAGATTCCAAGTCCCATACCAGTAAGATCTCCAGCGATTCCGGTAAGTTCTCCGAGACCACTGAGGAAACCTTCAACTTGTGGTTGGTTCATGAGTGATTCGTAATATTTCTTTTATGCTTCAGCTGCTTTTGCTGCCTCAATTTGGGCGTACATAGCGGTACCAGTGTTTCCAAGACCTGATATGATGTCAGTACCGATTTTAGCAATTTCGATTGGATGGAGTGATGTTGAGGGCTTTGTTGTTGGTCTATAGCTGGAATATCTGTTACCGTATGATCTGCTTAGAGCCTCAACATTGGGAGTTGAATCTACTGATCTTGCTCTTCTTCTGTGAGCAATGCCTTGAAGTTGACCCTTGATGAGTGAAACTTCTTTCTCAGCAGCTTAGAGTCCGTGGAGGAGACCATCGACTACTTTCTCTTCAAGAGTGAGTTGAGTGGCAGCGGCGGTTCCAAGTAAGATAGCTCCGGCAATTGTAATAAACTTCTTCATTTTAGATTTTAAGATATTATTTTAATTAGATTCTTGCTAAATCTCTGACTTAAATAGTAAAAAGTTATAATATTTATAAATTATATCAATCTTAAAAATATTATAAGCTATTTATCTATCTTTTTATATATCTATCTTTATGGGGTTTTGGGGTTTTGGGGTTTTGGGG